TTATCTTCTAATATTACGGTTTGGTGGTAATCAGAAGGCATATTTCCATTGCTATCTTAAATAACCTAGCAGAAGTGTATATGCATACAAAGATACGTAATAGCTTTAGTGCGTTTCAGGCGCCACGCCCCCTTATAAAATAGCCGAAATTTTCTCTAAAAGTATGGGATTGATTTCATATATCTCCATACCATGTTCGAGTACTCTACCATGAACACTTCCAGAGATATGCACTGTAAAAAATTCGGTTTGTATGGGAGGTGCTCCGCCCCTTTTTCCAATAGCCCCAATTTTTCTTCGTGACTATGCGATTTATTTTATGTCTTGTACATACCAAGTTCCAGTACCCTACCATAAACACTTGCAAAGATATAAAATGTGAAAAGTTTGGTTTGTGTGGAAGGTGCCACGCCCCCATTTCCAATAACGGCAATTTTGCCCATGAATATGCGATAGTTTTCATATATCTCCATACCATATCCGAGTAAATACTCTACCATGAACACTTTCAGAGATATGCAGTATGAAAAATTCGGTTTGTATGGGAGTTGCCACGCCCCCCTTTTCCAATAACGCAATTTTTCTCCATGAGTATGCGATTTTTCATATATCTCCATACCATGTTCGAGTACTCTACCATGAACACTTCCAGGGATATGCAGTGTGAAAAATTCGGTTTGTACGGGAGGTGCCACGCCCCCTGCACCTAGCGGTATGAAATATACTTTACATCCGATTCTCATACCTACCATATATGCACATAAAATTTCATAAATATCGGTCAAGCCGTTTAGGAGGAGTTCGACCACTAACTCCGTGACACGAGATTTTTATATATTAAATAAGAAACAGCTGTTCGTAAACGGCGGTTTCCGACTGAATTTCAGTTTTTTTTGCAAAAGTATACATACATATGTATATTTTCCTGTCATAAATATATCGGTGTTCCTCTACAATAACGACAAAATTCAAAATTTAAAAAGTAAAAACTCGTACTATTGTTAAGTGACTCATGTCTTTAATCGTTGTCTTATTCATGTATAATCTTTACTACATACTTTAGTTAGGATTAGGCATGGGTTAGCCAAGGAGCCTAAGGATTAGGATTATAGACATGAGCATAAGGGATTTGATTTTTTGAATTTTGAGTTGTGCCGTTATTGCAGAGGACATATCGATGGTCCTGGTGAATTCATATATTTCGATAATGAAATAAATTCCAGCATAAATACGATTTTTATTTACATATTTATACATATGTAACTCAATTTCAGCGCCACCTGGCGGCAAATTTTTTCGAAAGAATTATTTTTCCTGTTATCAATACATATTTTGAATCTGAGGATAATCGGACCATAAACACGATTTTGAGTAATAATTCGACTCCAGCGCCACCTGGCGGCTCTTTTTTTGCAATGGTATTGCTTTTCCTATTGTCAATACATATCTCAAATATGGGGCTAATCGGCCCATAAATACGGGGTTTACTAATAACTCGACTCCAGCGCCATTATTCTGCTATTCGGAAGGTAGACAAATTCAAGAAACAAATATCATAAAGATCGGTCCAGCCGTTCTTGAGTTATAAATGGTGTTTTATATATATAGACTAGCTTATACCCGCGGGTTTCACCCCGCGCTTTTATACAAATAGGAAAAATAATTTAATGATGTTAGATTTTATTTCTGTGCCCATTTCGTTATAGCTCGTTATTTTCTAAGCGAGTTAAGGTATTTAGGCCGTTTAAAACTATGAAATTATAAAATCTCCTCTCTCCTCCCTCTAAGTTTACCTTAAAAGGTTTCCAGGTATACGACGCGTGAACGTGCCACGGCGAGTTCTAATATTTCCAAATCAAATTTAGTAACCTGGCCTTGATAAAATACCACTTCTCATTACTGTAGCAAATGCCTCAAGAGAGCTTTAGATTATAACGTCGAACCCGGCTCTCCCTTTTCCATTTAATGAAATTGATTCTGTCTTCCACAAACACTTCCAGGGATATGTGGCAAGAAAAAGTCAATTTGTACAGGAAGTGCCACGCCCATCTTGCTTATAACCCTAATCTTCTTCCATGAATTTAGAATTGATTTTACATACCCCAGTACCAAGTCCCAGTGCTTTACCATGAACATCTCTGGAGATATGCAGTATAAAACAATAAATTTGTACGGGAGGTACCATGTCCCCTTTTCGAATAACACAAATTCTTCTATATGAGTATGGAATTAATTTTGTATACACATCTCGGTGCCAAGTTCCAGTCCTCTGCAATAAACACCTCCAGATATATGCAGCATAGAAAAATCAATTTGCATGGGAGTTGCCACACCACCTTTTCCAATAACTCTCATTTTTCTCCATGAGTATGGTATTAGTTTCACATACATACATGCATACATATGTATTTCCATACCCAGCTTGAGTGCTTTACCCCAAACATTTGAAGAGATATGCAATATGAAACTTTCGGTCAGTATGGGAGGTGCTACGCCTCTTTTCCAAAAACGTCCATTTTTCTCCGTGAATATGAACATGATTTCACACAGTGTTGGCAAACTGTTAATCTGATTAACGATTACAAACTAACGATTAAAATGTTAATCGCCTTTGACGATTAAAATTAATTAGTCGTAATCAACTGTACGATTAATGATAACATTTTTTTAATCGTTAATCGCTGGCTGCGATTACGTTTAATTAATTTAAAACATTAATCGTTAATCCAATTAAAAATAAAATCTGATTAATTTGTCTAGTTTGTCCGAGTTTGAAACCAAACACCAGTTATAGTAATTATTTTGTGTTTTACGCTTATAAAAAGCACGTAATATAAAAAAATAATAATTATTGTTATTAGTAATACATAAACTGGGAACTTTTACAAACCTAGTTTGTAAAACGTTTGTTGGTATACATATATCTTAATGAAAATG